ACAAAGTTCCTCTGACTTAAACAGCGACGCAGAGCTAAAAATATAAATCTTGTATCATTTTGACTAGCATCACCACACTTTGGCCAAGTGTGTTGTTACACTTACTTTTTTTTGTTACATTTTATTTTTAATAAATATGCCTTGAAATACACACTGCAAATGTCAAACTTGTGCTGCTCTCCCATGACTTCTATGTGGGTGCTCATTTGCACATTCATTCAACGTCCACATGCCGCTAACATCTGCTTATTAATAGCACCCATTAGTAGTACCTTGGAACTACTTTAAAATTGTATAACTTCTGAAATTTTCTGAGAGAGATAATAACATGAAAGTGATCTTGGCCTACGGGCATTAGAAGTTCTATCAGTCACCGACAGGCTACCCCTCCGCACTCTTAAGAGAGCTACGGCTGCAGGATGAACCTTTTAAAGTGGAAATTAGTCAGGTGCTGTGATACAGGGGATCTAGCCATTCTAATTTTGCCCACCAAGAAGCCTGCACGATCATTTCATGCACGAGTAGGTCACAGCTGAAAGGAAGCTTAGCTCTTAAATGATAAAAGTACTTTTTGGGCTTCTGCCACAAGATGCAGATAACTTTGAAGTGAAAGGAGGAGAAGTTCTGAGGTGCTGAGTTGAGACATAAAAAAGAGCAAAAACAGTTAAAGTTTTCTGGAGTAATTAAAGTGTTTTACTTGCACTGCCACCTGCTTGTTTGCACCACACATACTAGGCACCTAAAATAAATAATTACTCATATACGGTAATAATGCACACATCTGGCTTTCAATAATACCCTAAGTATGCTGCTCACCTGCAAATATTGTCATTAGCAAGTGCTCTGTAACAAATAAACAACAGAATATATTAAGCTGCATGACCGGCACGTATCTCATCCCACTCTGAGGCATCTGTGACCTCAGAGCTCACACTGGAGGTTCTGGTTGGAGTGGAGCTCAGCAGTGTGTCCATGTCTTCTAATGCAATAACAGAGTGACCAGGACACAGATGTTCAGTCTGTTCATCGGTCATGGATGCTTTTGATAAAGAAAACATTACATTTTAAAAATAGCTCGCCAAATTTCCTTTGGCAGTTGTTAATATAACTGGCAAAAGTGAATCCTGTGTAGGAAACACAGCAGTAAACACAGCAGTCACCGTTCAGTCCCTGTGGCTGTGTTTGACTTTCAGTCGCTGTTGAAGCCAAACATTTTTTAGGGGTTTACACAGGTCAGGTGACAAGTGGGCAGAACTTCATCTGAGAAAACTGTTACGCAATGATGTGAGTCAGCATTTCATATGCAGGTATACAGAGTTTGAGATGTATTTTGGTTACAATCGATTCATTAATTAAAGGTATAATTGTATTAACATATAATAATATTAATTTTTTTTTTTAAATTTTGGTCAGCTGTTTGGTCGGTGACCAGTCTGTGTTGTTAAACAGTTTTAAAGAGTGTTCTCGGTTTCTAGCACTAAAGTGAACTACAGGAATAGTTCATGTGTGTGTGAACTGGACAGAAGACAGACATGCAGATGTGGAGCGTTCTTCACATGGATTTGTTTTATCGACGTTAGAAAGCTGCACTGCAGAGAAGACACTTTTAGAGCCAAATGAATATTCAATCATTTGCAGTTGCCATTTAAAGTCCGATGACTTTGGCAGGACTGGACAGACAACTGGTTTAAATAATGATGGTTTTACCTCTTGCACTTTAACATCACTTTTTACCGAAGAACATCTTAGAAGCAGCTGCGGGCCATTCGAAAAATTTTAAATGCTACTTTTAATAATTAGGTCTGTGTATGAAAAAGCACATTTTAAACAAAAACCTCAAATTCTGAATGCATCACGTACGTGTGTCTGGTATTTGAAATAAAGCAAAGTGAAAACTGGTTCAAATTTAACATCAAGTTAAATTGTTTTTTAAGGATTTTATGCTTGAATACATTTTCATGCAAACAATATGGTGTCAGTGCTAATGCATCATTCCAATGAACAGGAGTGGGACCTAAACTTACGTGTCAGTGGTTTGTGTCTTCATGGATGATAAAAACAAATGCCAATGAAATTTCTGTATCAAACATTCAGTTCAGTTTCATTTCAATTTTATTTATACAGCACCAAATCACAACAACAGTCGCCTCACAGCGCTTTATATTATAAGGTGGACCCTACAATAATACATACATAGAAAAAAACAACAATCATATCACCCCCTATGAGCAAGCACCTTGGCGACAGTGAGAAGGAAAAACTCCCTTTTAACAGGAAGAAACCTCCAACAGAACCAGGCTCAGGGAGGGGCGGGGCCATCTGCTGCGACTGGTTGGGGTGAGAGAAGGAAGACAGGATAAAGACATGCTGTGGAAACATGACATTCTTTGCAGATCTTTTAAATACAACAAGCATTTTTCTAAAATAAATGCTTAAAATAAAATACATTTAAAAAAAATTCATTGTAAAAAGGAATAATTAATAATTACTATGATAAACTAAAAGAACTATCAGGTACACCTGTTTAACTACATCTTTGCCCAAATATCTAATCACAAGGTAGCAGCTCGGTGCATTTAGCCATATAGAGATGTTCAAGCTGACCAGCTGAAGTCAGAAGAAGAAGAATACTTTAAGGGTGAGAGTATTTCAGAAACTGCTGATCTCCTGCGATTTTCCCACACAACCAAGTAAGGGTTTGCAGGCAAGTGCATGAAAAAGAGAAAATATCCAGTAAGCAGGAGTTCCCTGAGTGAAAATGCCTTGTTGTTGCCAGAAGTCTGAGGTCACCGGCCAGACAAATATAACCAAAACATGCAGAAAAGCATCACTTCACTAAATGCACAACACTATCAACCTTGAAGCAGATGAGCTATAGCGACAGATCACACTGGATACCACTGATGCTGCGTAAGAACAGGAAACTGATGCTACAACTTCCATAGGCTCAGCAAAAATAGAAAACACAATGTTGGAAAAATGATCTCATAAGTGTTTATCTCTATTGCAACATTAAGGTGGTAAGGACAGGATTAGGCTTAGGCTTAGATTAGACTCATGCATCCTGCATTATATATCATGTTTCCAGCAGAATAACATGCCCTGTCACAAACCTCAAATCATCTCAAACTAGTTTCACTGGACTCAAATGGCTCCCACAGTCATCAGAGTTCAATTCAACAGAGTAAGTGTAGGATGTGGTGAAACAGGAAACCACCATGGTAACAATAATTTTGAGAATTCAGTTATTTAAGCATGATTATCATTTTGTTCCTGAAGTGTTTGTGAATCACGGGAAACTGCATCAACTTCTGACTGATCATGCTTAGGTGTGTAGTCACATCTGAAGCCCCAGTCTCAGCCAGGAAAACCCTTTAATCGCCAATTTTATATCTCCTTTTATGTGTTTTGTACTGTACACCTCATTAAAAATGGCAAATGGCCTGTATTTGTATAGCGCTTTACTAATCCTTAAGGACCCCAAAGCGCTTTACACATCCAGTCATCCACCCATTCACACACTGGTGGAGGCAGCTACATTGTAGCCACAGCCACCCTGGGGCGCGCTGACGGAGGTGAGGCTGCTGGACACTAGCGCCACTGGGCCCTTGACCACCACCAGCAGGCAACAGGTGAAGTGTCTTGCCCAAGGACACAACGACCAAGACTGTCCAAGCCGGGGCTCGAACCAGCAACCTTCCGATTACAAGGCGAACTCCCAACTCTTGAGCCACGATCGCACATTAACATTACTAAATAAATAATTAAAGTAATGCTGAAAGTTTTCACAGATTAACTGATTGTGAATTGCCACACTGTGTACTTGCAGTTTCATTCAGACAAACGTTTCAAAGCCTCGGTGAGAAAAAGACACCTGGTGTGGAAAAATAACCTGGTCTGGCTCCACTGATAGAGTCTTCTCAGAAAAGAAAGGTGACATCATTTATTGGTCCATGGCTCGCCACAGTCAACACAAAATCACAACATGACACACTCAGTCAGAATTTCACAGTATTTAACTTCTAGGAACTGGCTTCAGGTGTGAGCTAAATTTCCATCTGTCTGCACACTTCACTGTAAACAGATCCCTTTAATTATTCAATATTTTCACTGGGAATACTGGGAACACAGTGTGCATTCTTCCTGAATCTGTCGGCACAGAGTGTCATACACAAACATACTATGAAAACTCAAAGTTAATACATTATAACCACTTTTTTGCTTCAGATTTAGTTTTATGTATATATCCTTAGATACTCCAAGTGTGCAACAAAAGTTGGAAAACACAAAAAGTGACACTTTTTGATTGTGGCTGTCTTGAGAGCTTTCATTCTCAGTGTCACACTCTCCATTTCCTACAGTTTGACAGCTCTTGCTGCGATAGAGGGCTAGGAAACCTTTACAATATAATAAAAGGGTGTCTTTTTTGAGTTGCTTCACATCCTCCCCGTCCATCTAAATATATATAGATTTTGAGTCACGACTCATGAGCCATGTGTTTAAACGGATTGAAAGTTGTGGATAGTGAAAACAATAGATGTGAATTATGTAACATATGCCTGTCATTGTTCATGAACAAAAGCAGACTGCAAAATAAAAGAGAAGTGCAAACATATTAAGCTCTGTTAATATGTGGCCCTTCTGCTCACCTAACTACATGTAGCTGCCTCACTATTAGTTAATCGTTAACTCAATCTGCTTTAGAGGCTTAGAGATTTTTCACAGGGCTACCAATGCTCTGAGGAGGGCAATAAGAAAGGAGCAAGCTTTCAGAGAGTGATTTAAGTTTCCTCACATGTCAAATGCAGTGCTGAGTGTGGCAATCTTTTACCACGTCTTCTACCAAGTCCCTTTCTCAGTCAACTAATCCTGCATCACCCTCATCACTTTTTCCTAAAGGTTGTGATAATAATCTTACTAGTCTGGACTTGCTTTACTTTCGACATGACGCATGTCTAAAATAAATGCAGACACATTAATGACATGCACAAATTTGGGACTCAGTTCAATTCAGCTTTATTTATATAGCTCCAAATCATAAGAACAGTTGCCTCCAGCAGGCGATTCATATTGTAAGGTAAAGACCCTACAATCATACAGAGAAAACACCGACAATCAAAACACCCCCATGAACAAGCGCTTGGCAACAGTGGGAAGGAAGAAATCCCCTTGAACTGGAAGTGACCTCCAGTAGAACCAGGCTCAGGGAGGGGCGGTCATCTGGTTGGAGGCGAGGGGAGGAAGGCAGGTTGTAGTCTCGTCTCTCGTGTTTTTGTAGGACGCTCAGCTCGCCAGAACACATGACTGTGTTGCACAATGCGCTCATATTATCCACCCAACTCTGCTTCCAATTTACAAAAGGATTACAACATTCACCTGCGATCCATTTTTGCTAGTCCCAATCTAAATGAGATAAACTGTGCTGTACTGGGTCAAATTCAATATCTTTGAATTGGCCTAGTTAGCACAAGTATATAAATATATATAATAAATGCAACAAGTGCAATTTGTTCCCTGGACATTCTATAATCAACTGTAACTGCTATTATTTTAAACTGGAAGTGTCTAAGAACCACATCAACTCAACCAGTTGACACACAAAGTTATAGGGCAACATAACTCAAGCCAAGCCAGGACATAACGATGAAGAAAAAGACCATCAGCACAGAAAACGTGCACCGGGAGCTTCGTGGTATGGGTTGAGTAGGGGCTCCTGTAGGGGTAATGTGCCACCACTTTTATTCATTTAGTGAAACTCTCCTTCTGTTTGAGCCTGCGTATGGGGGACTGATGCTGTTATGTGTAAGCCTAAATGGAAAACACAGAGACTTGGGTGGGTGTGGGGGTTATGTTGGGTAAACCTTTCCCACGACAATGAAAACATTGAAACATTACAGTGTACGAGAGCAAATGATGTTAATCCTGTCAAACCAGCCATAATTTGTTCTGACTGCTTCACAGCAGGTATTAAGAGCCTGACGCCGCAAAAGAAAAAATGAAATAAATTGTTTTTGCAGACATCCAGGAAATGAACAGAATTAAAATTGCATATGTAAAGCATATCTAGCTGTGCAAAACAAGCTGTTTTACATGTCTAGATATACTTATTTGCAGAAATAGATGTACAGTACATTACACCTGACAATGTCCGTCATTACACAAAAAGTTCTCTTTGTCCTCGAGAGGAGGATCTTTGTCTTCCTTTCTCTCGCTCATTCCTTCAGGATGGCTTGAGCCTCCAAACTACACCAGACCGTTGCCCCCTCAGCTGTTGTAATCAGACTGCTCATATTTTCTCTGAGCCGTTGCCTTAAGAATTTTCTAATTCTGTTCTCTTGTGTGCTCTCATAACATTTGATGTTATGGCTGGAAATTCCTGCCTGTTGAAAAATTCCAGTTGATTCCTGCAAATCCTAATGACCTGTATCCTTAAACTGGCTGACATCAGCCTATCTGTCCAGTTTCCATTGCTCACCTCTGTTCCTCTGGCTCCCTCCCTGCAGCCTGCTATAGAGAAGAGAAACAAGTAAGCAATCAAACCAAATCTCTAAACAACTTCAAACCGTGACAGAAACAATTACCTCAGCCAGCTCTAACGTGTCCTCCCCTCTTTGGCAGAAGTCCCTGTGACGCTCCTGTAAAGGATCCAGTTACCTGTTTACTCAGCAGTTCAGAGTCTGTGACTCCCGAGTTTTCTGTAAACAAACCCTTAAATTGTTTTTGAATTTGAATTCAAATTTCCTGACATTATGACACGGCTAAAAGAGCATCATCAAGTTTAAGATGCTGATATCACCTGTTTTGTATGTAACACTTGTATGCAGTTGGGTTTTCCCTCTTCTTTGTTATCAAAGCCTCTCCTCTTATCTTAATGTAACTCCAAGCTGAGAACTGTGGCTTCACTGATACTGGTGTGGCCAATTACCAGATTAGATATTGGATATTTGATTATTTTTGGATTTTTTTTCTTTTTTCTTTTTGTCATGCAGCCAGCTCTCTGCATTGCTAATTTTTCTAGATGACAGTATTATTACACTGACTTTATGTCACAAGTAACCGTTTTCTGTGTTTGTAGAAGATACATAAAGCAGCAGATGAGAGCGAGCGAGCGATATATCACAGAGAAACACTCCAGCCACAAGTTGCAATAAATTTAAAGCTCAAAGGTTTGGGCCAAAAAATACTTCTGTTCTTTTTTCTTCTCTCCTTTGAAAGGATTCATAATGGATAGACAGCTGTGACACAGTGAAGATAAAAAGACTTTTATTTGAAAAAATAACTTTGTTCTTCAAACTTTGTACATTTGTAGCACTCGGGGCTTTACAGATCTTTGGCATTTTAGCGAGTGATTGCTGAGGCAGATATTTAGCTCATGTCTACAGATTTAACCAGATTTCTTACGTCTTTAAGCAAAACAATTTCAGCTGTGCTAACATGATTGAAAAAGCAGTTGTTCAATGATTAATTACCCTTTTATTCTTAATTTCTGTTGCTGAGTTACAACATTTTATGATCAATTTAATGTTAATCAAATTATTTTATTAATTAAAAAAAACAAAGCAAACGTCATTTTCTTTTTTGAACAAGGACTCCAAAACCTATAAATCTCACACATGGATATACATATAGATATATATGCTAGCTGTGTTCAGCAAGGCCCAAAGCAGTAGAGCTGGCGAGCACTGGGCTGTAATGCAATAATGAAATATAACATCATTAATATTGGTTAAAAATGTCAGCAGAGTTTTATGTGATTATTCTGGAAACCTTTTCTCTCTTTCTGTTTGCTTTGGAGAACAGCTGAGAGCTGGATAGCTCTCAGACTCTAAAAGTAGCAGATGTGTGGCTTTTTTCATATTATTATTCATTTAATTTAGTTAATTTTTGCAGCATCTACCCTGTTTGTCATTTGTTTTCTGTTTTTCTTTTACACACATGATTGGATTGTTTTTCATGTAGAGGTTGTGCAATCATAGAAATAATACTTTTGACAGGAGATTGGCACAAAATAATGTGACAGATGTTCTTACAGCAGTTGTTTTGTTATTATAATATTATATTTTTGACCCAGTGTGAAGATCATCATGTTTGTAAACAGATTTGTCTTTAGCATATATATACATATTATGTTTGGGTTCCTGGAGGTGACCTTTTGTCTGCTTTTATTCTGCACTGACTGACACTGTTGACTGTCTTTGACCTCAGTTTACAACACCCTCTGTGATGTAAAGATCGTCGTGACGATAGGTGCTCTATTTTCAGAACGTGACCTCTTTCATGTAAAGTGGTTTATTTTAGCATCTGCTTGATGAGTTACTGGGTTTTTCTTCTATTGCCAGGCCATGCAGTATAATTGAGGTTTGAGTCACAGGGACATCTTGTGCAGGAAGGATCACTCCTGTAGTCAGAGATGCATTTAAACTTGTGATAAAGTTAGCTCACCTCTACCTGCTACTGTAGGTGCTAAGCTATAAGGCTTGTATGCCCAAGAGCAAAGAAACAGGGATGACTGGCTGATGATGCACACTGTAAACAAACAAAACCGCCCCTCCCCATCTTGAAATGTCACAACACCCATTGCAGGTTTTCTTGATGCTCACACACACACACACACACACACACACACACACACACACACACACACACACACACACACACACACAGTGTCAGGGCAACCAGATCATTTTTGTAGGTTGTGTTGCCCTCGACTATTATTCTTGCAGTGTTTGTAGCTACAACAGCTTCTTTAAGTGCTTTTTCAAAAACCCAAAAAAACCCACCAGCTTCTGCTGTTTAGCAGTTTTTCTTTCAACTTTTCAGTTGATGGTTCACACAAAACAAAACCTTAAGAAGCTCCGTTGGCCTTGAGAGCGTTATGATGGACCTTTTTACCATTTAATATAGTTTTTGTGGCAAGACGGCTTTGATTGTAACTCTGAACAAATGTCCTTGAATAGAGCATATGGTCAGAACAAAACTACCATGATACAAAAAGTGTATTTTTATAACCCAGATGTTTTGAGTAGGTGGACAATAGTGGACTGGGCTGCCAAAGAACAAAATCCTTGAATGGCTTCCAAAGGGACTCGTGTTTTAACATATTAGCAGAGTGGGAGTGGTGACCACACTGTCATGTTGGGTAAAAGATAAAACAGGAGCTCTGACCTGGCTTCACACAATAACTGTGGGGATTTTTGATCTAATGCAACAGACTGGAAAATGTATCACTCTGCTGAAATTATTCTCAGCAATGACGCTGTACACTGACCGATATCTAAATGTGCTTTCCAGAGGAAATTCTCTCCTTGCTGATGACTGATTGTTTCATGACTGTGCTATTCTTAATCGGCCTGTTGTGTCTAATTATGTTCCAAATTTCACCATCTCCTTTCACCAACTGATTTTGCTTAATCAGGTTTTATGTATGTGTCTAGTACATTTAATTTTAGCAGAAATATGTATATCTGTTCAAATGTGAAGTTTTTAGCCATTTATACAAATATTATTTGCTTTCAAATCTGCTCTTCTTATCTTCTTTTGTTTCATAGTCAGCATAGTAATTTATGATCTCAGAGAAATGTGACACAAAAAAGGCCCAATGAAGGAGAAGGCAACTGAAAAGGTATTTGTTGACCCGCCCTGTCATCATGTGAGCTGTTATGGGCCTCCATGAGTGAAGGTATGCCCCACTCCACCATCTTGTGGGTAATTAAGGTCACATGGGTAGATGTGAGTGTGAGGGAAACAGCTTGGAAGGGATCTTAGGGCTCCACCTCCAACTGGTCAACCCCACTACTGGGTTAAATACCTGGGACTCCATTCGGTTTTAAAGCCGAACAAGCCTCTTAGATGAGATGTGAAGTGCCTCCAGTTCAAATGCTCAGGACTACTGTGACTGGGAAGACTGAAAAGCTGCATATGAAACAAAACAGCAACTTCTTATTTTCTCTTGTTAAAAAAAAGAGAAAGTGGTTTGGTGGTGTCACATTTGAACTCATGCAGCTAATTTAAAACTCACAACTAAGAATCAATGCCACAGGCAAGGTTGCCAGTGCATGCTTTTGTTTGGGCCTTTTTAGTTTTTAGATAAATAAACACCTCATTGTTACATAATAATAAATAAGGATAGTTATGTGACCTTTCCAGTTATAGTGGAAAAAGCATTTATGGCCCTATTTTAAAGATAATTTTGTGAAATGTCATCATCGCTGATTTGAGCAGACTCATTATGCCTAGCTAGAGGTCTTTTCTTGCCAATATCTGTTCTAAACTTTGTCCCCTCCTCCCTTTAATTACTGTACAGTCTGAATAATAAAGCTTTGTGTTTATACGGATTGCTCACAATCAAAAAATAATTAGACATGGCAGTTGCTCTGCATTAATGTAGCTCCCACAGAAAGTTTGCAGTAATAAAGTATGCACAACCAATTACTGAGGAGCCGTAACCCTCTCCCCCCACGCTTGAACAATGGAGAGGAGCATGATTTCCTCTTCCTCTGCAAGGAGCATATGTCTGACTCTCAGAGGACTTTGTACTAAAGCCTCTCAGAGGGTCTGCTTTCTAACAAGCTTCACACAATAACTGATCATCCTCTGTTGATGCAAACAGCAACAGGAACCTGCTAAATCTGGTGCATGGCTGTGCGGATTTATGTCTGACCTACATACACATTCTAGGGGGGCCATATGGGGGCCGTAGACCTTTGGGCCATCCATTCATTTGTCTTTATGTATCAGTGCAGAGAAGAACAACTTTGCCTCCCTCAGGTCACAAAAGGAAATGGATAAAGTCAAGCCTTAGTTTAACCCTTCACTCTCAAAACACTTGACCGACACTGAGACACTTTATTGTGCTGTTTACTTCTAATATTTGGCATTCTGTTTATGCATTGATGATTTTAACATTTTTTATATATTTTTTTACTTTATTGTATTTATTTTCATTATGCAGCTATATCAAATTCTTCTTTTTTAATCTATTTATTATATATTCCTAGTATAAATCCCAAAATGCCAGTATTGAAAATCTAGTGATCCAAGATACTGATCGATGGTCCTAAATACGTTTTAGGCCGTATTTGTTTTCAGAAAAGAAATTGCGTGCCCGAGTGGTTTCGCAGGTTAGTGCTTCTTGGAAACTCAGAACCACTGTCTGGAAATCTGGAATGTTAAACAATATCATGTACTGTAGGAGCACTGATGCATTATTCCCTGTATTCACTGAGGGCTGAAACAGACAAGGTCAGAGGAATTGTTCTTGTTTTTATTGTGTAAGAAGAGATTATGTAACTCTTCTGCAACTGTAGATCTGAGGAATCATTACCTTACAGGTTAAAGCAGATGGAAAACGTGCTCGATTTATTTATGTTTTATAAGAAATATTTTCATGCATTAAACTACAGCTGTTTTTGAACAAAAGTTTCATTAATAAGGATTTTGCTTTAATTACTTTGGCTTCAGTACATGGAGGTACTTTAGGCGGCTAAGTGGTTAGTGGTTAATAGATTTACATGCTTTACACAAGAATGGTTTGAGACCAGGAGGAGTCACAATCCCAGCCTCACAAACTGGTGGTCACAAGGTAGAGTGCTACCAGTGCTGGTCCCAAGCTCGGAAAATGGGAGGACATCTAGTG